GCCTCCAAGGAAGCGTTTTCATGGTCTGCCTCCCAAGACCGCTGTGAGCGTGCATGTGTGTATGCATGTGTGTGCATGGGGCATGTATAAGTGTATGCATGTGTGTGTGCATGTGTATATGTGCATGTGTGTGCATGCAGGTGTGTATGCATGTGAGTGTGCATGCAGGCGCCTGCATGTGTGTGCATGTGTGCATGTGTGTATATGTATGTGTGTGAATGTGTGAGCAGGTGTATAGGCAGGCGTGTACATGTATGTGTGTGCACGTCTGTGTGTACGTGTGTGTGCATGTGTGTATATGTATGTGTGTTCATGTGTGAGCAGGTGTATAGGCAGGCATGTACATGTATGTGTGTGCACGTTTGTGTGTACGTGTGTGTGTGCATGCACACGTGCAAGCCTATGGGGCAGAGTAGGTGAGAAGGTGGCATCTACCTTGGAATGGGGTGCTCCTGCTGGGGGCCAGTGTTCAGCAGCCTGGGCTCCCCAACACGGTCTTTATATCTCCCCATGTGTCTGGCCCCTCCTGAACTGCCCTGTTGTCTGAAGAATGAAGCCAGAGAGCAGGCAGCCTCTCCAACCCCTCGGGGCTCAACACTACCTCCCAGGAGGCCTTTCGCCTCCCTATCCTCAGCTCCACACCTCACTGCCCCAACCCATCCTGGGCCCACCCTCGCAGAGTACTGGCCCATGCCCCAGCTCCACCACCAATCCACAGTGTCACCCAGGCTCCTCGGGGGTCCTCTGGGCCTCCCCAAAATGGGCATCAGGAGGAAAAACCAGCCGCAGATAACGCCCAGCAGCACCATGGGTTGTTGGCACCGCCCACACTTGGCCACAGGCATTCCAATGTCCTTGCTCCAGGTCGAGGTCGCCCAGGTGTGATCTTGGCCCTTCCACGGAGCTGTGTGGCCTAGGACAAGCTGCTGTTCTTGCGAGCCTCGTTCTCTCATATTACAACAAGGACGACAAAAATACTAATTTTCACGAGGGCTTGCTCAGTTACAGGAGCTCACTTTTGTAAAGCGCTCAGAATGACCCTGAAACTAGAAAACCCTCCACTGATGTCCGCGCTAAACATCCTGCTATCGTGAGACTTTCACTTTTTGCAAGGTGAGGGTCACACCATCCTTGCCACCCTGGGCATAGCCTGAGGACAGGGACTAGGGCAGAAGCCTTGGGATGCCAGGGGCTTCAGCGGGTACGTGTAGACTGCAGGGATAAGTGAATGACTCAACTGAGGCATAGAGAGTGACCTGTGTCCCAGTAAGAGCCAACCAGAGACTTGGAAGGTCGCAGAGACTGAGAGACAAGGGAACAGATACAGACCACGGGGAGCCATGCAGCCCAGGCCGTCTTTCTGCATGCACTCACCAGAGAGAGCCAGACAGAAAGCGAGACGTCGCCCCCCAGACGGGATGGCCACGCCGCAATCTCTTCTCCATCCTCCTCTTGGGATTTTGGGTGCATGCACACACACGTGCCTGGCACGAGTTTTAAGCCTCCAAGTCCGGGCCTCAAACTAGTCAACTCCATAAGAGTCCAGCAACGTAACCATTACGCCTTCTACTGGTCCACCCCAGTCCACCTTCAGCACCTCCTAGAGGCAGACCCTGCCGGCCTGCAGGAGAGAAGCCAGACCCTGGCAAGCTGAGATACGCAGGCCCAGGTAACTAGAAAGCAAGGAAGAGAGGGGTTTGGGGCCAGGACAGGGGCTGAGTGCTCTAGGAGGTGGGGAAAGGCCACGTGGGGCTTGGGGTCTAGGCAGGTGGGCTGGAGCTGTGGGGAGCATAGCCACCGATGCTGGGAGGCCTTTTGGGGCCCTCTCCACACACATGAGCTGGTGGTATTTGAAACTGAGGCCAGTGGGAGGTGATCAGATCATGAGATGAGAAGTGAGACCTCAGGGGGGCCAGCAGGTTGTGTAGTGGTTAAGGCGCTGGACACTCCCACATGGCTCGACCGTGGTTCGAGTCCCAGACCTGGTGGCTTGCTTTCTCACTTTCCCTCTCTCTCTCTTTGTGTGTGTCTCTCTCTGGTCAAATTAAAATAAATGAATGAATAAATAAAATTAAATTAAAAAAAAAGCGAGACATCAGTAGACACTGAATCAGCGGATGCTTTAATCTTGGACTTCCCAGCCTCCAGACTTTGAGAAATAAATCTTTCTCTTACGTGACTGTATCCGTTTTGCCAGGAGTTTTGGGTCCCCTCTTCCTTGTGAGAATAATGTATTCGTTTTTTCTTTCTTTTTTTGGAGAGATTTTTGCTATAGGGCACATGTGCTCACTGAGGAGACAGAGAGACAGAAAGCAAGACATCACCCACGGGGAGGTGGCCACACCACAATCCCTTCACCTCCAATCTCCCCTCGGTATCTCAGGCACATACACACATGAGCCCGGTGTGAGGTTTAAGCTGCTAGGTCTGGGACTTGAACCACAGTCAACTATGCGGAAGTCCAGCGACATAACCCTTACACCATCTGCTCGTCCCGAGAAATAAACATCTTGTCTATAAGTCCCCCAGTCTGGAACACTTTGTTTTTGGTTTGTTTATTTATTTATTTATTTTTTGAGAGGTTTTTTGCTATAGGGCACATGCACCCCTGGAACACTTTGTTGTAGAGGCCCAAAGGACTATAGCAGAAAAGGAACGAGGACATACATTTTGTGTAGAAAGCTTCATAGCAGTTTTACTCACAGGGGCCAAGAATTGCATGTCCATCGACAGGCACATGAATGAACGAATCATGGTATATCCATTCAGGGCGCTCGGTGACGCTAAGGAATACATACTGACACATGCAACCACATGCATGGCTCTCAGAAACTTTCTCTGGAGCAAAGCCACATGCAAACTCATACACACATCTGGAATGAGATATACTTCCATAAATAAAATAGGCGAATCTGTCTCATAGCAACGGAGGTAGGTTGGGTTGCCCGGGACTGGGATTGGGGTAGGTTATGGACTGCAAAGGAGGCATGAGGGAGCTTCTGAGATGATGAGAATGTTCCATGTTAACTGTGGTGTTGCTCGGGTGTATACGGGGGTCAAAGCCTGTCAAATGTATACTTTAAAGGGATACATTTGATTGTATATAAATTATACCTCCTGAAGGTTGATTTAAAACATCTTTTTTTAAGAGAGATTTTTGCTATAGGGCACGTACGCTCACTGGAGAGACAGAGAGATGAAGTGAGAAATCACCCTCCAGGGGAATGGCCATACCACAGTCCCTGCTACTCCATTCTCCTCTTGGGATTTTGGGCTTGTACACACATGAGCCCTGCTTGGGTTTCAAACCTCCAGTTCCAGAACTTGAAATGCCATTGGCCATGTGGCTGTCTAGAAACATAACTATAGCACCATCTACTGATCCTGCATTTACTGTTATTTTTTTTAACTATTTAATTTTATTTATTCACTTTTTTTTTTTTTTTTTTTTAAATTTGACCAGGGAGAGACACAGAGAGAGAGAGGGAAAATGAGAAAGCAAGCCACCAGGACCGGGACTAGAACCATGGTTAGCCATGTGGGAGTGTCCAACACCTTAACCACCACGCCACTTGCTGGTTCCCTACATTTACCGTTTTTGAAATCTTTTTTTATTTTTTAAGAGAGAGATTTTTGCTATAGGGTGCGTACACTTGCCAGAGAAACAGAGAAAGACAGAGACTTTAGAAAGCGAGAAATCCCCCACCACCACCACCGAAGGTGGGATGGCCATGCCGCAATCCCTTCTCCTCCATTCTCCTCTCGGGATCTTGGGCACAGAAGCACACGCACCAGGCATGAGTCTAAGCCAGCGGGTCCAGGACTCCAACCAAGGTCAACTACATGGGAGTCCAGTGATGTAACCATTACGTTACCTACTGGTTCCTTAAAGTCTGTTTTCTGACCACCTTCCTCCCAGAGAAAGCCAGGCACCCCAGATACATAGACCCGCTGCCACCTGCTTTTCTCTCCTGCCGCGTTTCCCTCACCTTAACCACCACGCCACTTGCTGGTTCCCTACATTTACCGTTTTTGAAATCTTTTTTTATTTTTTAAGAGAGAGATTTTTGCTATAGGGTGCGTACACTTGCCAGAGAAACAGAGAAAGACAGAGACTTTAGAAAGCGAGAAATCCCCCACCACCACCACCGAAGGTGGGATGGCCATGCCGCAATCCCTTCTCCTCCATTCTCCTCTCGGGATCTTGGGCACAGAAGCACACGCACCAGGCATGAGTCTAAGCCAGCGGGTCCAGGACTCCAACCAAGGTCAACTACATGGGAGTCCAGTGATGTAACCATTACGTTACCTACTGGTTCCTTAAAGTCTGTTTTCTGACCACCTTCCTCCCAGAGAAAGCCAGGCACCCCAGATACATAGATCCGCTGCCACCTGCTTTTCTCTCCTGCCGCATTTCCCTGAGGGTGTCTGTTTAGTTTGCTGAGGGTGAGGGTGTTCTCCAGAGAGAGGGAGGGAGAGAGTGC